CATCAAAGTACTGCGAGAGCTATAAGAGAGAAGGCGTCTCCTTATGCTTTCTCTCGCCGTACTTTGATGTCATACACCGATCGATCTTCAAGTCGAACACGCCTCTTTACTCTGGCGTGTCACGTTACCGAGTGTAATTTTTCATATGAATTTTTTCATATCGCGATATTATCGCAAATGCAATTAATCGTTCAGCCCTAGCTTATAGTCATCAAATGTGAAAGATATTTGAAAGATTTTTAGGCACTTGGTAGCCAGCACACTATATCCACAAGAAGAATTGTACACTACCGTTTAAAAGGTTGGGAATTGTGAGATTTGTTTAAATGTACTTTGAAAAAAGTATCTTATTCTCACCCAAGGCTGCATATATTTGATCAAATAAAGAGTAAAAGCAGTAATTGTGATATATATAGTATAACAATTTAAAAACTTTCTAAGGCTGGCCACACCCGAGACAATTTTCAAATCTTAACCGATTTTAAAACCATGGGAGACCACATGAAGACAATTTCAACCGATTTTTAGCCTTATAATCCTCTGAACACACACACTAGATGATTCGACCAGACCGCGAGACCACACACTTGATGATTGCAGGAACGATTTCACAGTGACACGAGATCTCACAGAGACTCGCGAGATCAAACGTGACTACAGAAGAAAAACAAAGAACAATCAACGTTGTTAGCTGGCTTTCCCAACGCGTGTTCTGTTTCACAGTGAAAAACAAAGTATAAAAAAAGAATATGGGTGATGTATTCTGCTTTCGTGGCATTTTTGTGGATGCCAAGTTTCAGCTATAGAAGCACGCAACATCTGGTAGGTGACGCTTGCTCGCTCTTATTGGCTACCACGGGTATCACGTCAGAGGCAGCCCGATCAAGAGTCGTTAATATCAAACTTGTTTGATATTTACGATTTGAGTTCCGGGACGCTCCGTCTCGATCTGGAGCAGATAAATAATCGTAATGACACCACACAATAGAGGACTTTTTGGACAAAAAAATCTTTTGCGATAAGCCTTGAATCGGGCCACTCCCCCGATCGTTCGGGGATGCAAATCGGGCTTAAAATCGGCCTTAAAATCTTCTAGTGTGTGGCCAGCCTAATTTAATATATTTTTAAAATGTACATTTTTCGTCTTTTGGCAAATCTGAATTCAGCAGCATTTTTTCCAGTCCCCAGTGACACGATTTTTCAGCAATCATTAGCACATAATATGCTGCTGTGGTGCTCAAGAAACATTCCTTATTATTATCAGTGTTGAAAACAGTTGTGCAGCTTAATATCATTGTGGAAACCAATACATTTCTTCAAGGTTCTTTGATGAATAGAAAGATCAAGAGAATAGCAATTATTTGAAACTTTATAAATGCATTCTTGCTGAAATAAAGTATTCAATTTCTTTCTGAAAATAAAACATTTATATTCCAATTTGTTTTCCCAGTGAAATATCCATACTGTACACTTGTGTGAGAAACACTGATCACAGTCTTCACACATTTCTGCAAATTTATTCAGCAGTTTCTGTTCAGGCATTCACACTGCTATGCAATTATTTGAAAGACTTTTTTCCATGGTGGTCTAAAATAGTGATATTAAGAATTTCAGATGAACCCACCCATAAATTATGACTGTGAACCTAGAAAGAACTGTAGAATTATTTCCATCACCACTGTGACTTTTAGCACTTGCTAAACAAAACAAAACAGCACACCTTTCGTGGCTTGAGCTTGTCTTGCAGGTCGTACTGGCCAATGCCTTTGTAGCTAACCCCCAGCCACCACGGTATGTCCTGTTTGTCCTGTGAAAGGGATGAGATTTTTTTATTGAAAATGAAACGTAATTACTGCTTTGTCTGGCAATGGTAGTGAAATCAAAAGATCAAATGGGTCCAACCTACACAGCCATTCACATACAGTAGCAGCTATTTTAACAGCACTGTTTGATCCCAAAGACATTTCTAATGATCCAAGCACAATTATAATTAGTCTACACACATTTTACTAGTGGTTAATTATTTAACTAACCATAAATCAAAGGACATATTCATTATGACAGCTTCAGTATTCATGTCTAGTTCTGGATTTCCTAAAATATCACATGATAAATCAAATCACACACCTTCACTTTGTAGTAATGAACTCCATATGCGGGCAAGGATTCAACTAAGGTCAGATACCTGTTGAACAACAGTATAGCAAAGACAAAAACATCAAGGATGAACAACATTTAACCTTAGTAAATCATCTATATAATGTGTCACTGACAGCAGTCCTACAATTTATTTCTCTCAGTGCTTTCACAGTGAGGGACAATGTCAATATATCAAAGCAGCAGCACAAATCAAGTTGACAGAAATGACCTTGTCTCTTCCCAATGAGCTAAAGTGTGGCTAGACCCGTTGAAAGCAGTCACTATCATTAATGTGGTCTAATTAATTACGCAGTTTCGCCTTTCCACAAACAACCCTGGAGCAGTTATCAGAGGTAGAAGAGCAGGCTCAGACTTGTAGCCCCTGTACCTACGTTCCTTGAGGTTGTCTATGTCAGACATAAAAAATGATTAGTGTGCTTACCGTATGATAGCCTGTCCACGACTGAGGCCTTTCAGCTTCTTATAATGCTTGATTACTTTATCTTCACTAGAGGACAAGAGAGAGAAGCATTACCATCCGCACAAGTGCAACAAAACAGCAATTGAGCATGAGACCAACATGTGAATGTGCCATTTAAATGACGTGGCTAGTCAGACTATTAACTAGTCAGATATTACACCAGGTGCACCCATGTGTGAAATGCCATCTGGCTGGCTGTCCTGTGAATCACACACACACACGGCTATTTATAGAACTTGCTTGGCGGGCGACTCAGAGACTCCATGTGGGCTACCAGGTGCCCATGGGCACCACGTTGATGACCACTGGTCTAATGTATAAATGTGATTTAAGAGATAACGATGTTTGTTTGAGGAGAGCAGATATCATTCTTTTGAAATAAAACTCTCAGGTGACAAGCGATGACACTGATAGACCGATATTTGAATATTTTCTTCTAAGAGCTTCTTGATGTTTGAAGAGCACACTGGTTTTTATCTTTTATCATCCTGCTGGAATTCCTTTTTAGATAACTGGGCTCCCACCTCAACTCTTACACTTAAAACCAATCAGTGTTTAAATTACATATCATTGTGAGATGTGCATTTTTTCTATTCTGCAACTACGAAAATCTTGGCTTGACTTTTTATAGTCACTCAGAGCCTATATATAAAGATTAGATGTAAATGTAAAACTGAACTTTCCCATGTAAGGTTACAAATTCAAGCTGAAGTCAGGGATGATGTAGTGCTTGAGCTAATAGCATCTTATCTCAGTGGAAAGATTATGATATACTTCAATGTCAAAGTCTGTGACCTGAATATACAGGTAGAGCAAAGTGCTATTCAATTACAAAACATGTTAAAAGTAATAGTTCTTAATATTTTTAATACTAAGTAATGCTCTTTCAAAGCTGTATGATTTCTTTCTTCTGTGGAATAAAAGCATGCAATTGCATTGACAAACTCCATCTAGTGCAATATTAAACTTTTCTTCTTAGGTGTTGCATGGACAAAAGGAAGACGTACAGGTTTGAAATGGCATGAGGGTGAGTAAACAATGACAGAATTTTAATTTTTTGCGTCAACTATCCCTTCAAGAGTTAGAGGAGGCCACACATCTAACTACAACAAAACTACGCAAAAAAAACTGGCACCATCATGATGGACCAAAAGACACAACACCTGAATTCATAAAACAGGACAGCAGTGTTATTGAAAACCCTCATGTCATGGACTTCCAGACATCTGATCTGCTCTAGCAAGCTTTGATCTGATGTTTTCCAAAATTGTCTTGAGGGTGCAGTGGGCATTATTGCTTTTACAGGAAGCAATTACTCAAAACAAAGCGCAAGAACTGATCTAATTTAGCAAAACAATGTAAAACCATAACATTGGATTCAGAATACTTAGAAAATGAATTGAAAACAAAAGGAAACAAGTTACAGAACTGATAACATGTAAAACCTTTCTAACCCTGCTTATCAGCCCATTAATACCTTGCTTGACAAAGCACCACTATATTCCCTGGCGCACTTCCCTTTCCAAGCCAGTTGGTTTTGTAGTTCAGCAATTTACGATAAGTTTGAAGGTATAAATCTAGCAGGCTGGGTTGATGATGTGGTAAAATACAGTAAGCTGGTGCCTTGAGACCGCAATGCCTTGTCAGCAATCTGGAATTCATTATGCTGCCTGTACTATCAAACAGTTGGCAAGGAAGGGCGGGCAAATGCTTAACCCAGCACAAGCAACGCATGGAGGAGTTAGAACCATGTGTCAGCTTTTTCAAGAATACACCTACCCTCATTGCAAGGAAATCAGTGGGAAATGGGTCATTTGAAGTCGACGTCCTTGAACCAAAGGCAACTTTTGCTTAGAATACATGTTCAACAAGATCAAGTATTATCATAATAGTATTTAATAAAGTCCTCATTTAACATCACTTCCTGAACTTTCTATATTCTCTCTATAGGACTAGGACATATGGAGGGTGGTCTTCTAGGAGAACCCCCGCTTGGTTGTAGAGGTCTACCCGACCGGATTTTTTGCGCCGCGGGATTAAATTCCCGAATAAAACGCGGTAGCGGTCGGTAACTCTGGTGTAATTTGAACGGGAGCGGGCGGTCTAACAATATCCCGTTCCCGACGTCCATTTAGAACAGCATATCTGCGCTTTATTCTTATTGACCACCGGTACAGCTTGCGCTCAGGACTGTTATGCACGCACTGCACGCATGCTTTAAAAGTCACGCGTTTTATTTGCGTGGGCTGTGCGCAGCATGTGCATAACGATGCTCAGAACAGGCTGTACCTGTGGTAAATATACGGCCCTCAGACAGAACAGGCAGGTTACGTTGTTGAAAAAAAATTATATCGCGATACATATTGATATTGAATTATTGTCCAGCCCTACTAATAGGCTATTTTTGTACAACCTACATTGTTATTTTTTTTCTCTCTGCATCACTTTTTCCCTATTGTGTCGTCAATGTTAAACGAATTGTATCCCGACAAGACGAATAAAAATAAGAAATACAATTTTTGTACATTTTTATTTTCTCTGACACTTTTTTTCCTACTGTGTTGCATAAAATATTAAACGAATTTTGTGTTTTAAGATAATTCATATAAATTCAAGTCAAAGTCAATAAATTCAAGACTCTTGACAAGACGAATAAAATAACATACAATTTTGTGCAGACTACACTTTTATTTGTCAGCCTCTCTCTCTTTCTTTCAGTAGCGGAAATTTAAATGTGAGATTCTGGAAACGAGATCTAAATTTAGCGGGAACGGTCAGGTCGGGAAGAAAATTATTCTAAATGGACAGCGGGTGAACAAAGAGTGAATATATAGCGGGAGCGGGTGGGTGCGGAATCGAACCTTGCGGGAGCGGGACTAAAAAAAACAGTCCCGCACAGACCTCTACTTGGTTGCTCCTGACATAAACTACAGACAGATGACATCAGCATCCTGCATGACGCCCTATCGTCTGCCAACGGGAGATGTCTCCACTCCCTCTCCTCTAACATCTATGCAGTCTTAACAGTGGAGAGGAGGAGGTTTATAGAGAGGTGGGGGTCTTCTAACGTCCTACATAAACTTAAAGCCCTGGGCCTCCTCCCTCAGGCTTTATGAGATCTGGGAGCCTTCATCCACATGGAAATAACAGAAACCAGAGGAAGAGAAGGTCTGAAGGCTTGCTGTATCCTAAGCCCACTTAAACTATAAAAAGACGCTATCAGTAATGATACGCTGCCTGCTACCAGAACTGCTCGACTGCACTGCATAATTATTTGCCAGCAAAGAGTAAAGGGAATATCAGCTATAAAATTTTACTCACATGACCCACCAATCTTTAACCAAAAACTAAAAAACTAGGCATTCACTACAGTTTCAAAAGTATGGGTTCAGTAACATTTTTTAAATGTTTTTGAAAAGTCTCACCAAGGCAATTTATTTGATCAAAAAATACATTAAAAACAATAATATTGTGTCAAATATTATTACAATTAAAAATGTTCTATTTTAATATACACTGTTTCCCATACATTGATATATTTGTGGCGGCTCGCCACAGTATCAACACTGACCGCCACAAATAGATTTTCCAAATGGCTTTGACTTGGAATAAACATAAGCACTGCACGTTTCAAAATCAAAATGCCGCACGTGTGTTTTTATATAAATGTATCAGGGAACCAATTGTCTTCAGTAAAATTTTGATGTCATTTTCATTTAATCTTTCCTATAATGCCTGATAAGGTAGCGTTTATGAGCACAGCGCTGCTTTGATTACAGCCGTTACCGGGGAAACCGCCATTTCTGCCGCTCCAAAAGCGCCTCCTGCTGGCAGAGAATGAATTTGCACTTTCAATAAGCCCGTCTGCTGTTTTATATTTACATTATATAAATATACATATATATTTCCCCCAGGGGAAGTACCGGCACACATAAAGTGTAAGTCTATGGGAAACACTGATATATTTTAAAATATAATTTATTACTGTGATGGCAAAGCTGATTTTTTTATCAGCCATTACTCCAGTCTTCAATGTCACATGATCCATCAGAAAAATCTAATCTGAATCTAAATCTAATCTCTAATCTAAAATGCAAAAACATCACAATTTTTTTCCAGGATTCCTTGATGAATAGAAAGTTCAAAAGAACAGAATTTATTTGAAATAGAAATCTTTTGGAATATTAAAACAGTCAGCTTTTTTTTTTTTTTTCAATTTAATTAGCATTATTTCTTAGAAAGAAAAAAAAAAATGGACCCAAAATCTCTGACTCAAACAGTGGAACAGCGAACAGTGCTGTACAATATTTTGTATATTCTCTCTCTTTATATGCATTTATTATATCGTTATTGAAATATAATTTATTTAAAACACACACACAATGAAATGTACATCTGTAACTCATTGTCATATAATCAACCATGCACATCATGTGAGATCAACACGATTCCACGGAAAAGAAGAGCAGCGCCAGTGTGCCACTTCCTGTTGTAGAAGTACCAGACATACAGTAGATGTAAAAGGCCCGAGTGAAAGTAGCTCCAATATGCCACCTGTGTACTCTAACCTTCCATTTTTATGCAAAACCCTTTCAATATGTCCCTTTTGACAAAAACAAATCAACACAGAAAGAAAACAAAGCTTGTCGAGCCATTTTACAAGGTCTTTAACAAGTTCCCCACTGCTAAACAAGGTAAACATTTTCAGAGCAAAAGGGACTGTTAACACGCATCTCTGTTCCCAATAGTGGACAAGCTTTGTTTTCTAATAATGAACTGCAAGGCTATTGAGAAAGAGTGACCAACACATGCTGAACCTTTCTGAGCAATTCTCCCTTATATTTTTTTTGTGTTAACAGATTGCTTTATCCCTATGCATCCCATTCACTGCCTCAAGATCAGTCCATGTTAACAGAGAAGGCAAAGAATTCCATTACTTACAATAACTAATCATTTGGAGTAAACCTCCTGAAAATTTATGAACGGAGAACTAGGAACTAGGTAATATACCTACTGGTAAGATGACTGTGATGTGCTTAGAAAGTGGGCAACATTTATAAACAACGAAAATCTCTAAACTGAATTATGCTCTGTCTAACACAAAATGCACATGCCAAGAGTCCTTTTTAAGGTTTAAGTCCAGAAATATCCAAGCCAAGGACATATACATCAGATATATTTACTGCCAGTTCTACTCACGTATTAAATGGTTTATTTGGAAATGATCAACTAGGGCTGGATTCACAACAAAACACTGCGGCACACAGCCTAAACATTAACTTAAAATGCTTGCTTTTAGGCTGCAAAATGGACAATATATTTACTGTATGTGTATTTTTCAATATAACAATTCAGCGCTACTCAACTGGCTCAAGGGCCAAACTGTATGTATATATACACATACACATTTATTATTGAGTTTAACAGTTCCATTTTTAAACATTTGAAGCATTAAGCTTTATATTACAGCAAAATGCAAATGCAAAATACTAAATAAAATTACATACAAAAACTTTGAAATGGCTCGAGTAACAAATTATTAGTATTTCCCACCTTTTTTGCTACAGTGGAAAGCATCAAAAAAGCCGCTTGAAACACGATTTACACCTTTACAAAGCTTCTCTTGCGCATGCAAATTTAATTTACGCTTACGGTCTTATGTACACTTCCACAACTCTTACCCTGCACATGCAAATCTTTTTGACGTCATTCTACCTTCATAATATCTTGCATTTGCATGTTGAAGTCGCATCAGCATGTCTGTGCAGCTGGCGCCCCCTATTGGATAGCCATCGAACATGCAAATGAGTAAATCTGAACTAACCTGACTTGGAATTTGAGCTCAAGAGGTCCACTCTTTTTGGAAAAGTCATGGTCCAGCACCCTGCGATCCAGTTGAAGCCAGTTCGTCTGCCCCCTGATGAACAGCAATAAGTTTAATGGAATACTTTCACATAATTTCATTCATAATAACGTTCACATTGTAAGAACTACATCATTTAACCTCACATGTTGTGTATGATCCTGTATGTGCTTTGTCTGAAAGAATGAATGAATGAATGATCAAAGGATCTTAGCACTGGCAAGAATCCAAAGTAAGCAGGTAAGTATTTAAGAATTACCTCTAAAGCCCTAACTAAGCCTTTTGTTCAAAAGCATGCAATTTGATAAAGACGTATAGTAGTTCAGTAGAAGTTTAGTTCTTATTTGAGGTTGTCTGGCTAATGATTACATACTATAAATTAATATAATTAAAGATCTACCCAGGAGCGTCTTTGTATTAAGTGGCGAAATAGTGCTTAATAAGCAATAAGCAAGATTAAAAAAAAACATAACTATTTCTATACTTTCTATGCAATGACAACAAACACTTCACCAACTTACTTCTCATCAATGAAGGAGATTCCAAAGTATTCTTTCTCCTTTAGGTTAAAATGTGATGAAACCAGATCCAGGAGATCCCGGGACAACAGTTTTGGCTGTTTTCGAGAAAACAGGTGTTATTTATTTTTATTCCATACATTATCTGTCTGTCTGTCTATGAGTTAGTGTGGTGAGTTAGCTTTACCTGGACTAGCAGTTCCAGCTGCCTGTCATCTAGCAGAAGCACCTGACACAGCCGGCCCTCCGCCATCTGTCAAAGTCAAACACACATCCAGTTAGTCTTAAAATATTCAATATTTGTATTTAACTAATTCATAAAAACATGGTAATGAACCACCATATATTGTTTAAAAGTTTGGGATTTTAAATTAATGCTTTTATCACCACGAATGCATTAATTTGTAAATCAAAAGTGACATTTTGTAATGTTACAAAATATTTTCATTTTAAATGAACAGCACAACTGTTTTCATCATTATTAATAAGAAATGTTTGTTTAGCACCACATCAGAATATTAGAATGATTTCTGAAAGATCATGTGACTCAAGACTGGAATAATGGCTCCTGAAAATTCAGCTTTGCCATCATGGGAATAAATTAAATTTTTATAATTAATATATTATATAGTTTATATTATATATATTTTATAAAATATATTTATTTTATATATTTTAAAAAATTTAATTCAGCATAATTGGTGAGCATAAGAGACTTTCAAAAACATAAAAAAATCATACCAACCCCAAACTTTTAAACAGTAGTGTATTTAACATTTTTATTGATCCTGTATGTGTGTATAATATTTTGAACATACTCCTCCATGACCTCTAATACAGATTTAGACATCATCATAACCTACTGCTTTACTTATAAACACTAACCTAATGATGTGAGGAGAGTGTGTCCTCTGATACTGGGTTAATAAATTGGATTGTTTTTCCCATTGGGAAGACTGATCTCTGTGTAGAGTCAGCTGGATTTAGATGTGATCATGGCAGCCTCTTAGCAGGGTGACTTTAGGAGCATTCCGCAAAGTCAGAGGAAAAACTAAATTATGAACATAATTCTTATTTTATTATTATTTACATAACCTTTATATATCCTACATATTAATTAAATGAAATTACTAATTATGTATGAACTTATTTAGGGTGAAGCATTTGATTTAGAATGGGAGAGAGAGAGTGTGAATGAGTGAGAGAGAGAGACTAAAAAAATTTGAACTGATGTAAACCTGAACTTGTAAGGACACATTGTTCTCTTCACCATGTCTAGTACAACGCTTATATTTATTTTTTGCGGTTTACATCATGTTTCCTTACACAATGGCTGCGCAGCTGCATCTGAAAGCCCTTTATAGACTGAGCCTTAATAGAATTCAATATAATCTGAGTGAATCATATCATAGTCATGTGAAATTCCAAACTGCAAATCTTTTTACTGTTCAAAGCTGCCCCTGATAAGCTTTATCATGATAATATAACCATAATTATGTATAATCAATCCACTCTCATCTTATTTTTAATACTGCATTAAATCAATTACAAAATTATTAATACACACAATTAACTTTTCTCCTTCATGCATTAAAATGGTGATAAGCTTGAGGATTCAACATGGAGCATGCGTGAATTCTGCTTAATTAATGAGAACCAAACTCTCTCTCTTCACCAGATCCACCAGAGTACATGTACTGATAACAGTTGATTAATTATCCAAAAATAGCCACTTGCGTGTGAATTCACCAACTTTCTTGAGACTCATATTTTTTATAATATAATATAATTTGTAAATAATTTTAGATTGTATTAATACTTGGAACGGTATTTCTTCAAGAGTAAACATTTCTTAAATGTAATTGTGATCAAATAAGAGCTATAATAAGCTTACTACTGAATAAGAGAGAAAAATGTGAGGGCCAGTCGCTATAAAAAACAAGGACCTGCATTTAAGCTGTCTTAATGGAGAGAATTATTGGTGTTGTTAATTACACAGGCTCCATTGTCTAAGCTTGGATTAGTCACTATAGAAACCCTTTTATAGGACCATAGTCCAGCCCGATGAATGTTTAAAGCCATGCTTTAATAAAACTTTTTATGAAACATGACATAGAACATGCATACTAATAACAATACATCTTCTTGGTGTTTTTTTTTTTTTTTTACAATTTATTTAAAATGGAGAACGTTACTTGAAATTCATTCTTATGCAGTGTTTTGCTTAGCTTAATGTTGAGTTTAATATGTACATTTTGATTAGTTTAATATCATAGCAGTCAATAACGATTACCATACATTAGGAAAATCTGTTCCACCAGCAATGCAGCGAGCCTCACTGGCTTTGAGTTGAACTTTATCTTGCCAAAAACAATGCTCTTGAAAGTGCTTTACACTAGACTCAGCATCAGCATTATTTAAGCTTAATGCAGCATCACTTCCCTGCCCCCTAAGACGTTCTTGCCCCCCCCCACTAAAAAGCCCTCCACTTATCCCTGAAAAAACACCCACTTATGTATTTTCTACTTGTCCAGTATAGATTTACTCATGCAGGGATCTCACTTGTTTTGTGTATTGTCAGACTATACGCTCATCACTATTCACTGAGTGGCTGTTATATCAGTCTGCTAACTCATGTTACAGATCAATGCAGACAAAGAAGTTAGTATAGAGTTTGGGATCTATAATGAATATTTAAACTTATGATTTTATACTTTAATATCTGAAGACAATGGAAGCATAATGGATTTGTGTTTGTGTGAACTAAGCCTATATATGTTGTGCCTGTGGGGGAAGGGAATGAGTGACCATGCAAAACGAGAGGGTCATGTGACGTATAATGCTCTTGACATATGGGTCATTCACCCTGAATTATAATCGGAGTTCAAACAAAGCCCCATACTCCCTCTCCAAAAACATACACACACATGCTTGTGGACACAGTTACCACTAGCTCTAATTAAAAATAGTACTTAAACCATTAGTAGTACCACTAGCTCCAAACTTGTCTTAGTTTCAGTCATGCTTTATCGGTGACCAGAAGACCCTTAACCTCCATGCGCGAGTGTGATTTTCAAGTCCAATCTTACACAAACAATACCGTCTCAGGGTGATTCACAAGAAAAACAAAAGGATGAAATGACTCAGACCTTCCAGTCCTAAAACTACATCAAAATCTTAAAAGAAAAAAAACATCTGGAGAGAAGATCTGTCTGGATGTATAAATATCACTCAACTGTGGAGTGACTCCCAATAAAGTTGATTAAAGAAACATAAATAAAATTGGAAATAAAATTTCTAGTTAAATTTTGATCAGTTTCTCTCACGCATCATATGGGCTCAGACCATGATCATTAACAAACTTGGAATAGTATGGACCTCTTTTATGGTTTCATTTTGTGCTTTTTGGGCATTTGTGAAGCTTCACAGCCCACAGTATGGTATCCCTTCACTTTCACCATATAAAAAAGAGCTGTGTTAGCATCCTGTAAACAAATTATTTTTGTTTGAGAGAAGAAAAAAAATTATATATAAAATAAACCTATAAAATGCAACCATGGACAAGCCAGTTGAGCAATTGAATCCAATGATCAATCTGAAGTGATTAAATGAGTCCATAAGCCAAACAGTAAATACAAAGCAGTCCTAACAAATTAGGTTTTGCTAGATTTGTTTTTACTACTATTAGTGTTCTCAGTGACATACTGACAGTATATTGTGCTATAGAAACATCACCTGAGAGTCTGTGCACTTGACAGTCAGTTTGCTCTTGCTAAACTGCTATGTGACAGTATGGGTGCATTGCATTTTAAGGGTGCACTGAAATACCAATCAGCTTGCTTTGCATGTTTAGCCTAAATAAAGAATATGGCATGCAGTGTCCCCCACAAAAGTAGTATTTTAATGTACATTTTATTAATTGATTAATAATCACAATTACAAAATCATTGAACGGTTCTAATTATTGTTATAACTGGGCAGCCTTAATTTATTTTCTAAATATAGAACCCCTAAGAAAGAATGATTACAACATTTTCCGGCAAAGCCCCTCTTTTACTGACCATTTGTTAACAAAGAAAAACAAACATCCATATTTACTCCCTATTCATGGAAAGTACTACAAGCTGACACATTTTTCACACAGTGTCCACATGGTCAATAAACATGTCTTCACAGAGTTTGAAAAAAATGTGGTTCCACAAAGACTTTAGACACTTCCTCCAAATGTTTTACATACAACTCACATACAACTTTAAAATATAGAAAAGCTCATGATTGTTTACCAGTTCAGATTTCTGTGAGGACAACAAGCATTTGTTCATCTTGATTTCTGAAGAAACCACATCAATGTTTAACATCATATATTATATATTAGATGCCATGAATTACTGAATCCAGGTTAAGGTTATTAGAACAGCATTCCTTAGAAACAATACCATCAGACAGACCACAGCACAACAATAAGAGGAGAAAAAGTGACGCTTACACTCATGAAAAGTAAATGAATTGAGCAGATACAACATCCAAAAGAACAATTTACATTCATATTTTGGCTTAATAGAACTACTCTCAATAAAACTCAAATAAAGTTTTGTCAGACACCTACTGGAGTAGTTCTGTCATCAGTTACACACCCTCATGTTGTTCCATATCCCTTTCTATCGTCCATGACGCAAAAAAAGTAGTTTTACTTATTTTGAAAGTGAATGGTGACAGCAGCTGTCAAGTAAGAGTTTAATTGAATAATAAATCCATTTAGTTTGTTCCTCACATAAGCTATCACATGGCTTCACAAGACTTGGAATAATTCATATGGCTACTTTTATGATGCTTTTTTTCGTTGTTTAGTTAGACTCTAGACAATCCCTGGTCTCCATCCACTTTCATTATATGAAGCAGCTACTAGCCTACATTTCGCTGAATTCATCCTTTTATGTTCCACAGAACAAAGAAAATCATACAGGACCAACATGAGCGTGAGTAGCCTAAATGACGACAGAATTTTTATTCTTGGCTAAGCACACCTTTTAATTTAGATTTACACTATTGCTCAAAAGAATGGGGTCATGAGTTTTTTTTTTTGTTGTTTATGAAAGTTATGTTCACCAAGGCTGCATTTATTTGGTCAAAAATACAGTAATATTAGTACAATTTAAAATAACTGTTTTCTATTTTAATATATTTTAAAATGAAATTTATTTCTGTAATGGCAAATCTGAAATTTCAGCAGCCATTACTCCAGTCTTTAGTGTCACATTATTCTTCAGAAATCATTCTAAAATGCTGATTTGGGGCTCAAGAAACATCTCTTATCAATGTTAAAAACAGTTGTGCTGCACTTAATATTTTAGTGGAAAATGACATGCATTTTTTCAGGATTCATATGTAAAACATTTTTTAAACAGAAATCATATGCAACATTATAAATGACCTTTAATGTCAATTTTGATCCATTTAATGCATCCTTGATGACTAAATGTATTGAATAATATATATGACCCCAAAACTTTGAATAGTAGTGTACATGACATACATATAGACATCTCATACCTGGTAAACATCTCCCAGATGACACCATGTCTGCAGGAACCTCCTACAGGGTACAAGCCCATCACTGTAGCATCTCCTCAGCACCTGTTCAGCCACAGTCCACACTAACTGACTTCCAGAGGCCAGCAGATCCTCTATGCCACAAAATAATCCCAGCGCCATCCCTGTTTGTCTGGCACACTAAGAAGCTGTGTGCTCCCTCTGAGGCTGATGTAACCTAACTGGAGCCTGGAAGAGCCAGGGTCGGAATGCCACTGGCTGGGTTTGAGGCTCTGTATGTAGGCTTCTGTCCAAGTCTTTCCCCCTTGGAAGAGCGCACAGAGAGAGGGCAGGCCACAAACAATCCACACTCAGAGACAAGCCTATAGACATACTCAGTGATGCACACACTCATATACAAAAGAATGTAAGCAGTGCTGACTCACATACACACACATATTTACGCAAATTGTACACAATGACCGTCCCAGCCGTGCCAGTCCCTTCTCATAAACAAAAGTTGTGGTTTCTCTGTGCTTTTCACAAGTGTATGTCTTTTGTGACCAACATTTTACAGACACTTATATAAGACTGATCAAATGAGAATGTTTTGTTAGTCATAGCGATTAAAATAAAGACACACAACTTTATATCTATGGCTCTTATTAAGAAGGCAAGGGTTACTAGCTGCTTCTGTATGAAATTGTGTCTGTTAAGGGCGTAGTTTCCGCCAGACGCCACACTTCTCCACCCGGCATATTCCATAAAGGAAAAATACGCAATATAGGAGGCTGATGTGTTATGATGACTAACGCCCAAACTCTACAGCAAATTATAGAGGAAATTTAAAGGTCTTCATTGGACAAAATGGAATAAAATAGGCCATTTTCCATCCTCTCAGTGAACCCCTCAACTAAATCTATCATCCATTTGACCTCTAGGTTTCCACAGCATCATTTCCTGTTCCAAATTTGTTTAGATTACATTCAATATGTCAGATGTACAGGTTGTAGCAATCCAAAAGGATGTTTTTCTTTCTCCTCCTGCTGTCTGTGTATGAGTTTGGGGTCTTGCATTACACATCTTGGGGTAGAGTTCAGACTTAAAGGTCATTCTGAGAGGGAATCGTACAAATCGAGGAGGAACATGCACACACAGCTGTCATATTTGGCAGACGTTTCTACAGACGTTGATATGTCTCTGTATGTTTGTAAGATTTAAATCTTCTAAAACATAAAGAATGCACTAGAAATAAAGGGATGTGATGCAAACAGACTCTTAATACTAAGAGAAAAATAGCTAGAAATAAATCAAACACTTAAATAGGATTTAACTTGCTAAAATAGCTTATTCCAGGAGGTAAACAGAATCTTAAAATGATGCAAACAAAGTCCATAGAGAGAATGGAGAAACACAAGAAGTAAACAAGTCAGTTAAGTGGTAGCTCCACAGTTAAAAACTACTAAGAAAATGGGCCAATCAATACAGACCGTATGCATCTATAAAAAAGGACTAGGAAGACTGCACTTTTGTGACAACACAATAAGTGATGTGATAAATTACTGTAGTTATGCACACAGACATATGTGCATAGAGTATATTTAAAGCTGCAGTCCGTAACTTTTTTTGGTTAAAAATGATCCGAAATCAATATTTGAGCAAGTACATAACCAGCCAGTGTTCGAAACTATCGCCTTACTTTAGCCCGATTCACAACGGTAAGCTTATAATAATGTTTTCTAATTTAAATGGTACGGGTAGGTTTTCGCGGGAAAATCAAGCATGCCACTGCGTCATTACGTCACTTCTGTAAACATAAAGAAGTTGTCCCAGCTACTAGTCTATCGCATGTGAGGATCCTGCAGGTGGGCAAGAAAGATAATTCTGCACACAGCTGCAATTGCAGGTTTTCAAACGGAGATGGCGACAAAGAGGCAAAACTTACAGACTGCAGCTTTAATCAAGACAATACACACAACACATATATTTGCTTCAATGTAACTGGTAATAGAGAAACACTACTGTTCAAAAGTCTGGGTCGGTAAGATTTGAAAAAAAATTTTTTTTGAAAGAACTCTCTAATGCTATATTATTGTAAAAATATTAAAAATGAACTGTTTTCTATTTTAAAATATAATTTAATTTATTCATGTGATGGCAAAGCAGCCATAACTCCAGTCTTCAGTGCCACATGATCCTTCAGAAGTCATTCTAATGTGCTGATTTGGTGCTAAAGTAACATTACTTATCAATGTTAAAAGCAGTTGTGCTGCTCAATACTTTTGTGCAGACCATGATAATTTTTTAAAAGTTAGAAAGAGAATTTATTTGAAAGAGAAGTCTTTTGTAACTTTATAAATGTCTTTACTGTCACCTCTGATTAATTTGATCCTTTTTACCACACACTTTGTAGCTCATGAAAATCAGCCTTTATATGTGACAAGTGAAAGTGATGTGACATGTGGCCAAGTATGGTGACCCATACTCGGAATTAGTGCTCTGCATTTATCCCATCCAAAGTGCACACACACAGCAGTGAACACACACACACACACACCGTGAACACACACCCAGAGCAGTGGGCAGCCATTTTCGCCATCACTCCTCCCACCTACAATCCCTGCCGGTACGAGACTCGAACCCGCAACCTTTGGGTTACGAGTCCGACTCTCTAACCATTAGGCCACGACTTCCCACGTATAATATACAGCATTATAGACACTATGAAAGCTAACAAAAGTAAACACAAACCCCTTGCAGTCCCACAGTTCCAAACATGACTATTTATATGGGCAAAAAGGCACAAAAAAAAATAAAAATACAAGCTGTTGCATTAAACAAGAATTAGTATAAAAAGCCTCCAACCATGACTGAGAAAGTTGTGATCCTTGCTCAACAGTTCCCTCACGAAGCAGCCATTGATGTTAAGCACTGATTGGATGCTGGGAGGCAAAGAGTCAAGGGTTTAAGTGCATTCTGGGAATTCAAAGAGCCTGTGGCATTGGTAAGAGTAAACACAGGGGTTGGAAACAGGGCAAACTGCAGTCTAGCATTGATCTGTAAGAGCCTTACCCCTCAACCTTAGTGTAAAACTATAAGCTGAAAACAATTCAAATTCATCCAAAAAAAAAAAAAATAGGAAGCATTTCATTTTTTTTCTCATAATATTCGCACATAATGTAATAGGTTTCTGAATGAGGCATTGCACATTCAAATATGTTTGTATAACAACCACTAAGCCATACAAAGTGAACTGATTTCTTGTTTTCCTTATGTGACTCCATTGGCTCTTTATTTCTCAAATAATAAAATTAAATAAAAAAATAAATAATATAAAAAATATAAAAGTCATAAAATATTTTTTGCAATGCAGTACTGAATTGCTCTAATTTCGCTGTACTTTTAGTATAGTGACAATAAAATAATCTTGAATCTTGATCACCCTTTAAGGTTTATTCTATAATGACTAGCTGACTTATCAAATATATATTGTTTTATTTTATTTTTAGATTTATATTTCAGACTTATAAATTCAATTTTTGATATAGTATTATTATAAGTATTATAAGTTATTATAAGTTATAAGTATTATTTTGATATTCAAAATCAATTAGCTAATAGGCCTACTTCAAACTTCAAATATATTTACAGTAAAAAACATCAAGATATTTTTTCTTGTTTTGCATGAATGTGACAAAATCTCTTGTTATATAATTTGTTGATTAATGAATCCTTGCAGATTATAAATTTAGCTCAGGAAAGAACACACTGACGAATACGAAGTTGCAAGTCATTCCCAGTGGAAGGTCTTAGGTAATTCGCTGGGGACATCTGACAAAAAGTATCTGGTTAAACCTCTCAGGTGTGTGTGTGTGTGTGTGTGTGTGTGTGTGTGTGAGTGAGTGAGTGAGTGAGTGAGTGTGTGTGTGTGTGTGTGTGAGAGAGAGAGAGAGAGAGAGAGCACAAGTCCAAAAACACAAATATACATCAAATGCACATACATGATGAAATGCTCAAAGTACAGGCTGTAAATATGGAATGCAAGTACAAACACAAAGACATATAAACACATACACAGCTTGAGGTTCACACTCAAGAGCTCCTCTATGAAAGGAAAATAACTGCCAGTATTCACAAACACACAGAGCAACCAAGGTCCACATAATGCCTGCACCTTTAAAAGTAAACACAGCTGTAGCTTTTGAAGCCATATTTTAGGCCGAAACTCAAAAGAAAGCATATTGTTAACTAAAACAAAGCCTTTCACATCAATGTGTGGGAAAAAAGTTGTGTTCAAAAGGCAAAAACATCTGGGAGAAGTATGCCCAGGAGCTAGTGATGGGTTGCGCTTTGGTTTGCGTGTTATGCGTTATTACAAACATTACACGTTATTGCCACAGAAACTGTGGAGATACAGTTACAGCTTCGGCCGGCATTGACTGATGACCTCACACACTGGCACTTGTTCCGTGTCATGTGCATAAACTCAAGCTCTCAGTGACATGGGATCCTATTCATTTTAATGGCATTGACGCTTGATGGCACCCTGCTGGTAATTAAATGGCTATTGTATTTCCAACACAAACAAGACAATCGCATGTTGTGATGTGACATCAGCAAATTTGCATAGACTGGGCCAGATGGGGGGGGGGGGTTTCACAGA